GTCAGGGAACTGTAAAATGAGTCGCGCGGCGGTAAACGTGTGTCTTGTAATCTGTCCACGCAGTCAATGTATTCGTATGGAAAGACACCCTTTCGTGTCAATAAATTGAATTTTTCACTAGTTAAATTTTGATATTCCGAATGTAAAATTTTTAGTTTATCTTTATCCAAAAATGACGCTAATTTGTCGAGACTAGCGCTGAGAAATTTATATGAGTCTATGAACCGTAATTTAATATAATTTTTTGCATTTTTGTCTTGTGTCAATTTAACAGTCTTCGAGAATGAAATGTATTTTTCCTTTGTTATCGGCAATAATTCGATTTCCCCTTCGAACGCTGTGGCTATGTCCTCGATAATGAAATGCGCGTCGTAGCCGGACAGATTGTGAAAGACTATAGGAATACAAAATGATTCTTTGTAATTTAAGTTACAATTTGAGTGCGCGGGACCCCTGTACCGCCCGGTGAGGTGGCAATGATCGCGGACGCGTGTATCGTCTTCGTCAAACGGTTTCTCACAAATGTGACAATGCGTCGCGGTGCGAAATTTTAACCACTCGTCAGGCGTTAAATTTACCATGGGGACATTGGTCGTTAAAATATTTTTTACGCGGATTGCTAAATTTTTAAGCTGTTCGGCGAACCACGCGACGCAATCGACACTACGGCGGGAATTGTACGCGGACAACGAACTGTCGTACGAACACTGTACGTAATACGCGATGCTGAACACTTGATGGTGTTGATGATTTTTGGCATCTTCGGTCTTTGCCAAAACACACTCGAGATCGGCGTACACTACAAACGGCAGCCGCTCCTTCCTCGTGTAATTGTCGAAGCTGAGCCACTTGTCCTTGTCGCTCGGCAACTGGATAGCACAGTCGTTCAATTTCCCGCAATCTTCCGTATGCGCTTGCAATTTATCCGCCGCTCCGAAATAGTGTAAACATCTGTAAAAAATAAAAAATTTAATTAGAAATATTTTAAATATAATTTAAGTTTACTATATACTTACCGATCGCAAATAAATTTTCTACATTTCTTTTTGCTCAGTTGCGAGCTCACGAGACGAGACAGATTTTTTATGCACGCGAAATGCCCGTGTTCGTCCTCCACGTACAGCAGATTGACGTGCCTGTCCTTCTTTTTTTCCGAAAGACGCAACGGGACGATGTTCTCGTTCTCGATGATGTACACATTCACGGAGATGTCGTTTGCAAGTTCAAACTTTTTAATTTGATTCACAGTCACTGGAAACTCAATGTTTTGGAGATTCAGCACTGTTGTGTAATGTGGATAAGAGGATTCTCGACCCGTGTTTATTTCAGCAGGGTAAAGAGCGGCCACCACCGACCATGCAAAACACGCATTGTCCGCTGATTGCACATTAACCACCGCTCTCTTTGCCATAATTTTTTGCGGTAATTTGACATGACATCCCGCGCGCATTGGATTGTACTTATTTACATTCACTGTCAAATCTATTATCCGCGACAATGCCCAGCCGCTATCGCGTTCCTGGAACTCTTCTAGCGATGCTAGCGTGGGCTCGATTACGCGGCGCTCGTACCACTCGCGTACATCGGACGTGCGAAAGAGTTCAAAGTTTCTCGTGTTAATACTTTTATTGGCACGCTTGTCACCGGACACAAATTCACCGTTGAAAACAGTGTTCACTTTTACACTGATGTGTCTCTGCAGCACATTCTCCACGTTCTCGACTATAATGTCTTTGGCATTTTCCAAAAATTGACGCGGTTCGATATAGTCTGCGTTAATTACCGCACCGGTCAGTATACGGCTATCGAACGCCGTATCGATTTCGCGCCAAACTAGTCTTTGCGCGTTATTGCCGCCGCCACTAGGCATGGATCCACCACTAAACATGGATTCACCGACATACTGTCTCTGCAAGCGCACCTTTGCACCCTCGAGTCGCGCTATTCTCGCCACGAGAGATTGCCTATGTCCAATCGAGAGACGCGGACGCTTGACACGGCTGCGTTCTTCCAGCTGTGTGATAAATTCTTCGCACTCTTGCAGCCATCCGAAATATTCGCCCAAGTTAGCAACTTGGCGGGAACGCTCCAACAGGTCGCGCTCAACGTTCTCCATTTTTGTAAAAAATTCACTTTTTCACACTTATTACAAAAAAACTTCTTTGCACACTAAACTTTTTTTCTTGCACCTCGAATGAAGCATGCGCTCGCCAGTGGTACTATGGCCCGGCAGCGGCATCGGTCCTCATTATATATCCCCGATCAACCCTTTGTTCGTCAACGTACGAACGAGAAAAATTTAGATGACGTAAATTTTCGGCGCTTGTTTTGTTTATAAATTCCTGCAGCCGCTGGTTATCGGCGCTGGTATTTCTTCCTAAGATAAACAATAAAGAACCGCCGCTTATTGGGGAGGTACCGCGAGGGTGATATACAATCCCATGCAAAAACATGTCGCAGGCCGCAAGCGGTGAGATTGCAGGCAGCGAGGTCGCAAGCGGCGAGGTTGCAGGCAGCAACTTGTTCGCCCTGAAACTTTACCCGCTGATATTTCTTAGAAATATATGTATAGATCATGTATCAACCCCCTTGATTGTCGGCGTATGCCAAGCGGTGGCCCTTCTTAAAATTTGATTATCTTAGATTTTCAGAGAACTGATTGTTGGCGCTCGGATCCAAGCGGCCCTTCTTAGAATTTAATTATATTTCTTAGAAATATACAGATAACGTATGGGGGAAGAAACGCAACCCCCTTGATTGTCGGCGTATGCCAAGCGGTGGCCCTTCTTAGAATTTGATTATATTTCTTAGAAATATACAGATAACGTATAAGGAGAAGAAACGCAACCCCCCCCCTCCCCCCTGATTGTCGGCGCTCGAAATGCGGCAGCCATTCGCAGAATTTTTATCTTATCTTCGGAGAAAATTTATGAAAACTTTGATACCGCTCAAAGACGCCGCTTATCTTTGATACCTTACAAAGACGCCGCTTATCTTGGATTCGAAAACTTAGCTTATCTTGTTTATAAATATATCAGGTAACATGATCCCCTTATCTTATCTTGTTTATAAATATATCAGGTAACATGATCCCCTTATCAGGTTATCTGATATGTTTATAAACAAAAGATAAGCTTATCTACTGATAAGACCCCCTCCCCCCGCGTGACGTCACCCCCTCGCCACCGATTCCCCCCCGCCCCGCACCCCCCTCATTGCCCCTGAGTTAGAACCCCCCTAGTATAACTACTTACGTATATGCAGTTTTTGCTGTTAAATGTACTTGAACGAAAAAAATAATTAAATGATTTAAATATAGCACATTTTAAATCAAGAAACTTATACTATAATCGAACTCTGTTTAGAAAGAATGTTTGTTTCAATCACAATCACAATACCATTTTCTATTATTTCTCTTATTATTATCAATAATGTTATTCACCAAATAATTATAGTATGAATAATGTTTTGCGATTTATTTAACAATTCATAATATGTTAGGGTTATAAAGTTTTATCTATAGGGTTTTTATTTAAATAAAATGAAGAATGTATATATATGTATATTTATTTATGTATATAATGTATCATATTATATATTATTATATACTATTCGGCGTTTCGCCGTCCCCGTCCTCGTCCGCCCCTCCTCGGCCTGTTGCCCCAATAATAATGGGGCGAGGACAGTTTAAGGAGGAAGCGCATAAAGCGCTCCTCCTGGACGCGAACTCCGGCGCGTCTTCCTCTGTAAACTGTAATTAAAAAAGAAATTATTTTAGTAATTAGATAATATGGTATATTTAGGTATATCTAGGTATGGTATAAAATAATAAATGTATAATATGTTATAATAAAATGTTATAATAATATAAGGTTAATATTTATATAAAATATATAAATATTTTATTAATTAGAATATATTTAATAACTATTATAAATTTATTATAAATCATTTATTTAATTAATAATTGTTGCGGAATGCACTGATTAAATTAATTTTGATCGGGAATAGAGGGAAGAAGGGGTTGATTGTTAACAGCTGAGAATATGGTTAAAAAAAGGTTTATTCGATCTTTCACAAAAAAAACTAAAGTTGTCGATCTTTCACAAAAAAAACTAAAGTTTCGAGTTCGAATTAAACACACTTGGCGAACGGTGGACAAAAATTTTAACGAGAACGGACGGACATCTTGTGCTTGATCGTAATTGCTGCGCGCGTACTCGACGGAAATCTTCTCGCGATAATTTTTACAAAGATCGCAGCGATCAAGAGCCGAACGCGGATGCGCGATGCACCGTTCGCGAAATCGAGGTCTCTGAGAGTCTCCGGAACACTGTAATATCGGAGCACGTGGTGATACATGCGGTCGTAATTGCAGCCGAGCTATGCATGTATTTCACAAATAAAACTGAAATAATGGAAAATATCGCTTGCCCAATATTCTACAAATTTTTGCCGATGACCGGCGGAAAAGAATCACTTTCGTGACTCGAAGGATTATGTGAACCACGCGTGATACGAATCTCCAATAACGAGGCAATGTGTTAATACACTGAGAGCCGGAACAAGAAGAAGGAACGGGAAACGAGGAAGGATATTAGCGACTCAGATAGGCATGATCGGGGGTGCGCGACAGATCCTAATCGATACACCGCGCACTTGAGTTGGCGAAAAAGGACCGCGAATGCGAATTGCAAAGAGGTGTGAGAAGGATCGGCTACGCGCTATGCCTCGGTCGCGTGGAAATTCGTGATTCGCTAATGCGACGATTTATGGTTCTCAATATATTTGATCGCGCGACATTTAAACTTTTCGCGGAGACTCTCAATTATTTTCAACGGTTCCGGAACATACCGCCCGTCTCGAATGATTTTATTCGAAGTAAAGACTATAACGCTTACAATTTATGACTAGAACGCTTACAATACGAATATGGAAAGTTTTTTTTTTTTTACAACAAATGGTGCAGTACAATAATTTTTGAACATTATTACTTAAGTCTAATCGGAATCGGTGCCGCCCGCCATGCCGGAACTTTGATCGCTTGAAGTATTGATATCGATCGGAAGAAAACATAATTTTACAATTGGACGCTTATACTGTGAACGCGCGGTGCGCACGGTAACGACGCGAACGAGTCCGTCGTTGCCGGGATGACATTCGATGATACGTCCGAGCTCCCAGTGAGACGGAGGAGCAAGTGCGTTCCGCAAGAGAACGATTCGGCCTACAGTCGCAAGTCGTTGCGCAATTTTCCATTTTGGCCGCTGCTGCAACGTTAATAAGTAGTCGTTTGACCATGATTTCCAAAATTTTTCTGTAATATGTTGCAACAATTGCCAGCGGGAAAGACGAGTTTCGTTAAGATCGAGAACGCTTGGCTGTGGCGCAGCTAAGATGGGTCCCCCGATGAGGAAGTGTCCCGGTGTTAATACATGATAATCATCGAGATTTTCGGACACAGACCCAATAGGTCTCGAGTTAAGACACGCTTCGATACGACAAAGAACAGTATTTAATTCTTCAAATGTGAGCGTATGTGAGCCGATACAGCGCTTTAAATGGTATTTGACGCTGCGTACAGCAGCTTCCCATAATCCACCGAAGTGGGGAGCGGAAGGAGGCACGAAATGCCAGTTTATTCCGTCGGTCGAAAGCGTATTTTGCAAATCCGAATTTTTTAAAGCCTGCGCGATTGCGAGTTTAAGTTCGCGATCGGCACCTTGGAATGTGGTTCCATTATCCGAATAAATCGATGCAGGGTATCCGCGACGAGAAACGAAACGATTTAATGTGGCGAGAAAAGCGTCTGAAGAGTAGTCGCTAACGAGCTCGAGATGGATCGCCTTTGTCGTCATACAAACGAACACGGCAATATAGGCTTTATGCGCTTTATGACCTCGTCCACGAGAGGTTCGTACAAGAATTGGACCGGCATAATCGACACCGGCATGTTCGAATGCTCGAGCTGAGCGATTTACTCTTACATTCGGAAGATCGCCCATGAGCTCGTTAGGAATCTGAGCCCTTTCTCGTGTACATGATACACATTTGTAGAGTACAGCGCGAACCAGAGATCGTGCTCGCAGAATCCAAAATTTCTCTCGGATCCGAGCTAATGTTAATTGAGATCCAGCGTGCAACATTCGTCGGTGGGTGTCCATGATGATCATCCTGACCAAGGCATGGTCCTTTAGGACAATCGGATTGCGAACGGCGCTTTGTAAGGTGGCGTTCCTTAGCCTGCCACCGACTCGAATTATTTGATCATTATCGAGATAAGGATTTAATGAAAGCAGTGTGCTAGATTTCTTGATTGGAGTTGCCGTACTGAGTGCTGATATCTCGCTATGAAACAATTCTGATTGAATGTAACGAATCCAAAAGATTTCAGCGGACTTAATTTCAATCGGATTTAGGTAGATCGGAGCTCTAGGGTTTTGTATCTTCAGATTGAGATTGATATGTCGAGAGCGGGAATTCGTTACGAATCGATAGATGTATGCAGTTATTTGAAGGAGTTTGTGCCATGACGAATAACGTTGTGATAGGTCCCACGATGCGACAACGGATGTAGTGAGCGATTGTGGTTGCGCGCGTTGCTCGCTTAGCGCGTGGGGATCGAAATCCGAGTCAGATTTTGGCCAATAATCGGAAGATTTAATAAGCCAATCGGGACCTGACCACCATTGAAGGTTTGTGGCAAGGTCGTCGGGAGAGATCCCGCGCGATGCGCAGTCGGCAGGATTTTCCTTTGTTGGGACATGACGCCATGGAATGTCCGGAAGTAGCGTGTGAATATCGGCTACTCTATTCGCTATAAATGTCTTCCATGTAGTAGAAGGTCGGCTCATCCAGGCAAGAGTAATTGTGGAATCGGTCCAACAATAAACATTTACCTCACGAAAGTCGAGAGCTTCGCGAATGAAATGAATGAGCCGTGCGAGTAATTGAGCTGCAGATAACTCGAGTCGCGGAACACTCATTACTTTGACAGGAGCGACTTTTGATTTTGCGGCAAGAAGATTGACCGAGACCATTCCATCCACCGTGACAACGCGAATGTACACCGCTGCAGCGTATGCTTTGGTAGATGCATCCGAGAATCCATGCAACTCTAGATGCAGTACGTGATGGCCGAGTTGAATCCAACGTGGAATCATCACCTCTTCTAGATGTTTAAGATGAGTATGATACTGCTGCCAGGCTTCAAGCAGATTCGGCGGAGCGACTTCGTCCCATTCACATTTAGCGATCCAAAGTCGTTGCATCAAAATTTTGGCGCGAATAATCACTGGAGTTGCCCATCCAAGTGGATCAAAGAATTTGGCGATGTCGGATAAAATTCTTCTTTTGGTGTTGCCAGGAGGCCCTGTAATCGTAATGGTAAATTTGAAGATGTCGCGATCTGGTTGCCAAGTAAGACCGAGAATTTTCAAGCTCTCATCTTCGTTTAGATCTCGGCTTTGAGCGAGACCGTGGTCGGTATCTTCGATCTCGTCAAGGAGTTCGGACACGTTGCTTGCCCATTTTCGTAGCGTGAATCCACCTCTTTTGAGAAGAGAAACAATCTGCTCGCGAGTTTGACGAGCGAGAACCTTGTCGTCGGCGCCGAAGATAAAGTCGTCGACGTACATTTGACGATCGATAACGGATGTGGCTAATGGAAATGAAGCGCCTTCATCTATGGCGAGTTGATTCATGACCTTCAAAGCTAAGTACGGAGCTGAAGTCATGCCGTACGTTACGGTACAGAGACGATACTCCTCAACTTGATGTGTTGGAGATGGCCGCCAGAAGATGCGTTGGAAATCACGATCGCGAGGATCGACTTGAATTTGGCGATACATTTTTGCCACGTCGGCGGAATAAACGTATCGAAATGTGCGCCAACGCAAAATCACTGCAGCAAGGTCCTTTTGAAGTTTAGGGCCCGGATATAAATGATCATTCAATGACGTACCGTTTGAGGTTCGACTTGAAGCGTTGAAAACGATACGTATTCGCGTTGTTAAGCTGTTAGCGCGGAATACGGCATGGTGCGGAATATATACGATTTGATTCGAGTCGATTAATTGTTCGGTTTCTGAGACGCGTTGCATGTGTCTCAGATCATAATATTCTTTTAAAAAATTATGATATTCCGACGATTTCGATGAATCCGTTTTAATGCGGCTTTCCGTGCGAAGGTAACTCTGAAGCGCGGAATGTCGAGATTCTCCAATGTTGAGTGGAGGTCCGTGTTTAAATGGAAGTCTGACGATATAGCGACCTTCAGAATTTCGAGAGTGTGTCGAATTAAAATGGTCGTCGCATGCCTTTTCTTCACTAGTTATTTTCGATGAAGCGGGAATTTCTTCGATTTCCCAAAATCGGCGGAGAGTTTGATTGAGATCATCCGTAACAGAGCAATGATGTACTCCAATGGACGACTGCGAGAGCGGTCTGAGTTGCGCTATAGGTCCGGATATGATCCAGCCTAGCGCGGTATTTTGAGCGATCGGTTCGTCAACCGCGCCTTTTCGAACGCCGTCGAGGATGAGTGACCCGAAAAGATCCGCTCCGATAATTATTTCTATTGGATCTGATCCTGCGGGATCGGGATCAGCTAACGAAAGGCCATTCAAATGCGGCCATTGCTCTGGAATGTCGAGACGGTTTGGCAAATATCGAGTTAACGATTTTAAAATTAACGCGGTGGTTCGATAAACCGGAGTGTCCGCGTTGCTGGGAGTTATCGTTAGATGAACGGCATGTCGAACGTTTGTCTGCGTTTCGCCAATACCTGTTACCCTAACAGCGGTATTTAATTTCGGAAGTCTTAATGACTGCACTAAATTTTCGGTTATAAAGGATGACGCAGATCCTTGATCGATGAGCGCTCGGGCCCATTGGAATCGACCGTGCATTGAATGCACGCGAACGCGAGCAGTTGCAAGGAGAATGTGACGCGCTGTTACAGCTTTCGCAACGATATGCGAGGAAACGTCACTTGTCGAGATGACGGGATTTGTTGACGCGGGAGACGATGACGCTTGAACAGCTGATTTCGGAGCGTCAAAAAAATGTAAAAGCGTGTGATGCCTTTTGTGACATTCTTTACACGAGCGGGTACTCGGGCATTCTTTCGCTTGATGCTTCGAACTGAGACAATTAAGGCAACGCTTGCCGTTACGAATAATTTCGTATCGCTGAGTCGGCGTTTTTCCGAGGAACGCGGTACATTGATATAACAAATGATTCGATTCGCACACGGGACACGAAAGTTTCGTGGCGCTTGTTGTATGCGAAGTGACAGCCCTTTGTTTTAATTTCGCGTTTGATTTATCGCTTTGTTTATCGAGTGTCGAAGCGATCGGTACAAGGGCGTCGAGAGCGCGAATACGAGAATCCAAGAACGCGCTAATTTCGTCAAACGTAGGATAGACGGTCGTTTTTCCTAACTTCAATTCCCACGCTTCGCGCGAGGATTTGTCGAGTCTTTGTGTGATAATATAAACAAAAATATCGCTCCAGTGTTCGACCGGACGAGACAAATTTTTTAACGCGGCAATTGCGGCAGTTAATTTGCTCTGTAGAGCTCGAAGTTCGGTCGCCGATTTCGCCGTAACATTGGGCAGTGTAAATAAGCGATGTATATATGAATTGATTAGCCGACGCTCGTTTTCAAAATTGGACGAAAGAATCGTCCATGCTACAGCAAAATTATCAGAAGTAATCGTTAAATGTTCGATCGCGGTGAGCGCTTCGCCTTTTAGACACGAGAATAAATGATGCAATTTTTGTACGTTAGACAGGCTTTTTTCTTCTATAATCATCGATTGAAAACGATCGCGGAAGCTCTCCCATTTGTCGAACGATCCATCGAAGACCGGCAATGTGACCTTCGGTAGGTTGAGTGTCGTATGAGACTGACATTCGTGCAAATGACTTACGTTAGCTGCAGGATGAACTGATGATTTGGAGAGTTCATGTACAACCTCTGCGAAATAATCCAACGCTGTCTCGTAGGCTTCTTCGCACTCGTCAAATTCGTGATCTGAGAAGTAGGGGTGCGTGGTCTTCTCCTTGGAGTCAGCGGAAGCGTGTAATTTGGCATCTAATTTTGAGCACTGTTCGAATTTTTCTTTTAATGTTTCCATGCGATTTTTCGTCACTGCATAGGTCATTTTAGCTTGACCTAACTTTTTAAAATTAGATATCGCACGAATAACTGAGCTCATTTTTGTAGACTGTTCGTGCATCAATTCTTCGAAGGATTCCATTTTACACAGGTTTTTTATTGCACCACTACGCGATAATCGAACGAGTTCGCTACTGAACGCGTAGCACCAACACAGCTGTTAACAGTCAAAAAAGGCAAAAAACCTCAGTCCCGATCCGGCTCGAAGGACCAGAAATGTTGCGGAATGCACTGATTAAATTAATTTTGATCGGGAATAGAGGGAAGAAGGGGTTGATTGTTAACAGCTGAGAATATGGTTAAAAAAAGGTTTATTCGATCTTTCACAAAAAAAACTAAAGTTGTCGATCTTTCACAAAAAAAACTAAAGTTTCGAGTTCGAATTAAACACACTTGGCGAACGGTGGACAAAAATTTTAACGAGAACGGACGGACATCTTGTGCTTGATCGTAATTGCTGCGCGCGTACTCGACGGAAATCTTCTCGCGATAATTTTTACAAAGATCGCAGCGATCAAGAGCCGAACGCGGATGCGCGATGCACCGTTCGCGAAATCGAGGTCTCTGAGAGTCTCCGGAACACTGTAATATCGGAGCACGTGGTGATACATGCGGTCGTAATTGCAGCCGAGCTATGCATGTATTTCACAAATAAAACTGAAATAATGGAAAATATCGCTTGCCCAATATTCTACAAATTTTTGCCGATGACCGGCGGAAAAGAATCACTTTCGTGACTCGAAGGATTATGTGAACCACGCGTGATACGAATCTCCAATAACGAGGCAATGTGTTAATACACTGAGAGCCGGAACAAGAAGAAGGAACGGGAAACGAGGAAGGATATTAGCGACTCAGATAGGCATGATCGGGGGTGCGCGACAGATCCTAATCGATACACCGCGCACTTGAGTTGGCGAAAAAGGACCGCGAATGCGAATTGCAAAGAGGTGTGAGAAGGATCGGCTACGCGCTATGCCTCGGTCGCGTGGAAATTCGTGATTCGCTAATGCGACGATTTATGGTTCTCAATATATTTGATCGCGCGACATTTAAACTTTTCGCGGAGACTCTCAATTATTTTCAACGGTTCCGGAACAATAATTAATTTTAATAAGGAAAACAATTAGATATTTAAAGACAAGGCTCGTGTGATATTATAAAATTAAGATTTAGAAAGACAGGGCCAACTATAACGAGCATATTAAATTAGTGAGAGATGTAATGTCTACACATAATTGATTTATTTCTTAGTAGATACAATGATAATAAAAATAACGAACACAGAAATCCCACTAAAAGTATCTAATCTTTTACAAATGGGTAGTAATTTCAATCTTCCCATCTCCAACAAAAAAACTGCCATACATGAATTTATCAAAGATTTGGAAGCTAATGGAAAAAGAAATAATTTACAAAACCTCAGAACTATTAGGAATATTGCAATCCCCCAATTTAATCATTATCTACATAATTTTCACAAAAAGAATTTAATAAACGAAAAAATTACTGATATGTACAATACCACAGTAAAATTTTGCAGAGAAAACAACAATATAATATTTACGCGATCTGACAAGGGTAATGTGACAGTTGCAATGGAGAGGGATTTTTACAATAATAAAGTGACTGAACTTCTTGCAGATGTTAACACTTACTGCGTGGTCAATAAGAATCCAATCTTAAAAATTGAAAGAGAACTCAATTACACTATCAAAAATTTGCTAACAAAAGGATATATTTCAAAAAAAGAATATTATTTTATGCACTCTAGTGATTCCATACTACCGAAAGCTTACGGTCTCCCTAAAATTCACAAACAGAACATTCCTTTTAGAAAAATTAAACAAATCATATATAGTAGGCCAACTGAACGAGCAAATAAATAAGGTGTAAAAATTTTTTTTATTAATAGTTAAATAATTAAATTAACATTCCGTTACAGAATCGATATAAAATTCTTAACATAGAGATATTTGATTTATATAGAACTTTAAACTCACTTAATAAAAAACGGTCAAGGCAATTCCAAATTCTCCAAAATCTTTTACCATCTTATATCTGGCAGGAGATTTTAAATCACCATTGCAACTCCTTTTCTTTGTTCAACCAAAAATTATATCTCATACACAAGAAAAAATTCCTATGGCTACGTAAATCGCATGAAACAGAGTACATTAAAAATATTGATCCTATCGAATTGAAAACAATATCATCGACAAATATTGTTGATAACACTGTTTCTGCCAACAGTTTTCGTTGTGCTACACATAACCCTCTACAACAAACTAACCAGAAATGGTTTATTAATTTAACTGATAAAAAAATTCCCCCCAATGTAACCAATCTATTACAATTGGGAGGTGAATTTAGTCTCCCAGTTAACTTAAATAAAAAAGTAGCTATACACGAATTCATCAAAGATATAGAAAGCAATTCTAATGGGATCAGAAATCTTACTTCGATTCGTAATGCTGCCATTCCACAATTTTCATTATTTTTAAACAATAACGACAAAAAAACGGACATACAAGAAAAATTATTTCACATGCATAAAGACACAATTAAATTCTGCAATCAAAATCCTAATATTTTATTTACTAGAGCAGATAAAGGCAGCATTACAGTCGCACTAGAAAAAGAATTTTATATAAAAAAAGTTGAGAGTCTCCTAGAAGACGATTCTACGTATACCATAGTTAAAAACAATCCATCAACAAAAATAGAAAAAGAACTCAATATTTGTTTAAAAAAATGGTTGAAAAAAGATTTCATCAACAAAAAAGAATATTATTATTTATTTTCAAGCGACTCTCTTCTTCCTAAAGCCTATGGGCTCCCCAAGATCCACAAGGAAAATATTCCTTTTAGATTAATAGTTTCCTCAATAAATACTTCTCTAAATAAATATTGATGGTTTACCTATATATAAGTCTTCCACAAAGAGTTTATGGCCAATATTATGTGCAGATAATATTATAAACAATGTATATGTCATTGCCTTATATTATGGTGAAGGAAAACCAAAAAATGCAAATGAGTTTTTAAAAATGTTTGTAGGTGATGCTATTGCTTTTATAAATAATGGGATTGATTATGAGGGACAGATCATAAAAGTCGAAATTAAAGCAATAATTTGTGACGCTCCTGCTAAATCATTTATTTTAAATGTAAAAGGACACACTGGATATAATAGTTGCACTAAATGCATTATTGAAGGTGATAATATAGAAGGACATATATGTTTTCCATACACATCTAATATGATGTTACGTAATGATAAAGAATTTTTTACTGGATCTTATAATCTTGATTATCAAACTGGTGACACAATTTTAAAAAATATACCAAATCTAGGCTTAGTTACAAATGTGCCACTAGATTATATGCACCTGGTATGTTTGGGTGTTATGCGTAAACTTATTATGTTATGGCTTTCAGGACCACTTAAGATAAGATTATCAAATTCAGACAAAGAACAAATTTCTAAGAAACTAATAAAGTTACGCAATTATATTCCTTCTGATTTTGCTCGAAAACCAAGATCATTAAAGTATATCAAACATTGGAAAGCCACAGAATATCGGCAATTTTTATTATATACAGGTCCTATTATATTGAAAGGAATACTACAAGAAAATGTATATTTAAATTTTCTAACATTACATGTAGCAATCACAATTCTTGCACATCCTACTTTAACATATCAAACTTCTATTATAGAATATGCAGAAAATTTATTAAAACATTTTGTAAAATCATTTCAAGTTATCTACGGTTCTAAATATATTTCACATAATATTCATAATTTATTACATCTTGCTGCAGACGTAAAACAATTTGGTGCTCTGGATAAATTTAGTGCATTTAAATTTGAGAATTATATGTCTACGTTAAAGAAATTAATTCGTAAAACTAACCAACCATTACAGCAATTAACAAGAAGATTTGCAGAAATTGAGACAATACATAATAATGAAACATTCAAAATATATTCAAATTCATACGATATGGAAAAATGTTTTACACGCTCTCATTGTGATGGTCCTATTACGAAAGATTTCATTTCTGTACAACAATATAAAATTTTTTGCAATAATCAATATTATATTAACTGTGATGATCCAAAAAATAATTGCATTTCTTTTGAAAATGGACAAATAATGTCAATTTTAAATTTCATTAAATCTAATGACAATAAAATGTATGCTATTGGCAAAGTACTTGTGTTAGTGGAAGATTTATATACACAGCCTATTTCGTCATTAACTTTAAATATTGGTATCATGTCTGAATATTCTCATCTTCAGACATGAGTGTTTGATAAAATTAGAGCAAAAATGTTGAAAATGCCTTATAAAAAAATTATATTATATTTCCGATGTTACACACAACTGAATAATACATGTTTAATATTAATTTGCATTTGTAATTAAATAATTAAACGTAATTATAATACTCTAATATAAATTGCAAATATTATTATTATTATTATTATTATTATTATTATCGTCACATTTTTATCATATTATTTACATCATAGATTATTTATAATTTCAATGCTGATCAATTTTTATTTACAGTTATTATGGCGTATAATATTGTGGAGTTCGAAATGGTTTACAAATTGTTCCTTCTGAATGGTTAACTGAAAATAATAAGGAATGTAAATGGCCATCATATACAAGTCAAATTAAGATAAATAAAGCAATTATGAAAAGAATATTTCCTTCTGATGATTGGCAATTATATAAAATAATCCGTATTTTTGGTAGCAGCGGTTAGTAATATAAAAAATGTATTTTATTTTTTTATCAAAAATTATATAAATTAAAATTATAATATATATGTATTAAAAGTATATATTAAAATTTAAATTTTAAGTGATATTTGATTATAAAATATATAAAAACAAAAATCTAATTTTTAATATTCAAAAATTTTATACGTTTTAGATACATATGATAAAGCTATAGACAAACTTAAATTAGCTGAACAAATATCCGATATAGATGGTGATGATGGAAATAACCTCAAAAAATCGAGATATCAACGAGCAAAAAAAAATACAGGTTCATCTCC